AGAGAAACAATTCAATTATGAAATGGGTGGAGAATGTAAATAGACATTTCACTAAAGAAGACATTCAGATGGCCAACAACAGAAGATGAAATGTTCAAGATCATTAACCATTAGAGAGATGCAAATCAAAACAACAAGGAGATATCATCTTACCCTAGCAAAAATAGCAATGTTCAATAAGACATTAAATAACAAATACTGGCAAAGTTGTGGAGATATTATAACTCTTATATATACTGTGGATAGGAAGGTAAAATGGAGTAACCGTTAGTGAAGAATTTGATGCTTCCTCAGAAAGTTAGAATTAGGAATTTTATTTGATCTATCTCACTACTAGATATATATCCCAAAGGAAAAAGAACTACTACAGGCACTAACATAATCACATCATGTTTATTGCAGTACTATTTATAGTAATATAACAACAAAGAGTTGAAACTAGAGCAAGTGCCCATCAACAGACAAATGGCTAAAGCAATTTTGATATAAGCAGACAATGGGGTATAATGTGCATCATTAGAAATTATCATGAATTTGTGAAATACTGCACAACATGGGTGAAATTAGAAAAAAAATGTGCTGAGTGACATTAAAGTCACAAAAGGACAATTCTGGTAAAAGATTATACATACAAAATGCTAAGAAGGTTTAAGAGAAATGAGAAATGAAAAGAAAAAGAGTTCTTTATTAAAAACAAATAACATTTCTGAAAACTACACAGATATGACTGTGATACACAGAAACACATATGAGAGATTTATGTCTTAGAGAATCCGTGATTCAGTGAATAAGGAATTGTGTAGCCTACCCAAAGATAGGTGTTTTGAATCCATCAGTAGATCCACAGGAACAAGGTGGGCAGTCTCCTTTTATGAAATTTATAGCCTCTGCAACAATATATGCACACATACACATATTTTGCTATTGTTATTGTTGTTGTGTGCTATGGAGTCAGAACCGACCCAAAATTAACCTTCCAGCAGGTTTTCAGGGGCAGTAAATCACTCAGGAAGAGATTGCCCATTCTTCTCCAACAGAGGAGCTGATGAATTAGAACCACATGCCCTTGGGATTGCACACAGTGTGTTCTATTACAAAACTATAGCTATTTAACCAGAACTACACTTTTCACTCTTCCTGTTACATGATCTTCAAATTTGGAGACCACAACCTGCATGCCTCCACCCTGTCACCTAAGGTACATCTTCTGAACTTGCTAGAGCCCAACAATCCCACCATTGTGTGAGACAATTCTTTCAAATAAGACTTTCTTTCTCCATTTATCTCTCTGCCTCCCACTCTCTCTGTCTTCTATTTCTCTTGATAATTCTGGTGAAGACATAAATTATTTAAAAAACGGAATCAAATTTAAAGATACTCTTCTCACTATTTCTTAGTTGTTGGAATTGACAGAAAACCTCATAAGCAGTTCCTTATTTCAGCTCTGCCTTGCAAGTGTACTTCCGAGCTGTAAAACAACCCAGTGGTAGATGGGATTTGCTCCATGATTTAAGAACAATAAATGACATAGTTGAGCCTCTACATCTTGTGGTCCCTAACCTTTATACCATAATAGACAAAGTGTTAGTCTAAAGGCCTTTTATTTTAAGAACTACCTTCCCTCTGTAACTTGATTTGTGCCACTATTAGAACCTCTACTTGGAATATTATTGCTTTTTAATTTTTGACTCATGTACTTTTAACTTGTTAGTTAAAATTGTGTCTTCTAGGCTGCAACAGTTCCATGATACATCTTCAAGGATATGGACCTGTCCGGCTAAGCACAATAGATAACAGTGCATCTAAATTCCAAAATAAATCTCCACAATAGTCTACGTGTTTCCTATTGCCGAAGGGGCCCTTTAGAGTAGCAGAGAAGATCTTCACCCTGAAACCTACAGCATCCCTTTTCAGCAGGAAGTAGCTAAGAGAATATGCCATCCTCTTTTCCTTATGAATCAGGGTAAAGTCTCTCTCAAGAAGGAGTGATTGAGAATGGCAAAGGACACACTGACAAAGGAGATTAATCAGAACTGGCTTTGACAAGCACTGTGGCAATTGGACAATTAAAACAGACTCTCAATGGGTGGGGGAGAAGGAACTGAAGGGGTAGAGAAAATAGTGTAACAATGAATGAATGGAAACCCAAAATCTCTGTAAATGTTCATTAAAATTAATAAAATTTAATTTTAAAAAAGATAAAGCTGAGAAAAAAATTATAACAGTAGCAGATAAGCGTTTGATCAGGAATGGCAGAGACAATGGGATAGTGCAGGCAAGAAGGATCCCAAAAGACTTAACAAGATTTCTGGTGGTGATAGCTAAGTTCACTACACGGTTTGCCATTTCACGGGTGGTATAGACACATAATTAAAAATATAACAAATTATACATTTAAAATAAATAACATTTGTGTTAACCAAAATTCTATAATGCATTTTTTAAAAATGTTAACTAAGGCAATATTAAATAAAAGCCACTTATCATCAGTGTGGTGTAGTCTATAGGGATCTGTGCTGCTAACCCAAAGAAAATGCCTTCTGAAGGTTTGACCACACTGGAGAGTCAGCCGTGGGTCATTTCCAGCTTGATAATAATGATTTATTTATATCATTCATGTATATAAAAATCTCATTCTTGATATGCAAAGAAGAAAAGGAAGGGAGTGGAGACAAGAGGGGGTAATAAGGGGTCATAAAGTTTGGTGGGAGGAGTGGAAAAAATGTATATAAATGAAGCAATGTAAACAAATTATTGTATGTAAGCTAATAATAATTTAAAAAAACAAAAATATTTCATGTTTTAAAGACAAAAAAGAAATCCAGTTTATATACAAAGTTGCAGAAAAATTAAATAGAAATTAAAAATAAAACATTATACAAACATTAGTTTAAAATACAGCTTCTTAAAATGCTTAACTTTAATGTCTTTAGGAATAAAAATCTGAAGAAATCTCATTGAAGACAGTGAATTGTGAAAAAATAAAAAATAAGATAAAATGGAAAACTTTTTGAAAGTATTAAGCTATACACAGTAACTGCAAACAGAAAGAACAGAGAAAAATTAAGAAGAGTGGAAAATTATTCTTAAAGAAATTAAAAAGTAATCAAGTAAAGCACATTTCAAACTGTAAGCATGATTGATAATATTAATACTAATCTTTTGAGTTTTCAAATCACCAAAGAACATTCTTAAAGCTTAATTGAGTAATAATAAAGATGTTATCTACAAAAAACCATTTATAATAGTTACCTTAGGGTGGACTAGTCCAAAAGGAGTTTCACTACAAACCTAAAATGCTCTTTGGGGGAGAAAGAATGGTTGCTATTGCCCTCTCCCCCGGAAACCCTTTGGTGAGTCTTTTATCAGTATGTTCTGACAGAAGGTCACCAATAGTAAGAAATTATCACAAGCCAATTCCTATTAGAAAGCAAATCACAGAAATTCAAAATGGTCCTAATAAAATTTTAGATCTATGGATAGCATCAATAGGAAGGTTCAAAATACAGATATTCCTTTCCTCCAAAATTAATCTGTATAGCCAAAATAATTCCAAAATAAATCCATTCACATTTTTTTAAACACCTTACCAAACTGACTTAAAATGTACATTGACAGCTGAAAGGCCCTTAGAAAGTTAAACAAAACAAAACAAAACAAACAAACAAAAAAACCTAGAGTGAAAGGTTGTGATTTGATGTCCTGATTATTTAAATTTACAATATTAACAATCATTAAAAGAGTACAGTGACACTAGTAGGAAGCTGTGGTGACCTAGTTGGTAGGAAATTGTACTAACTTAAAGGTGGTGTTTTGCTGCCTATTGAAGTCCTCTGAGGAAGATGAGAAATGTCCTCTTGCGCAATTTGCAGCCTTTGAAAACCCACTGGAAGGTTGGCTATGAATTGGTTCCATAACAACGGCAATGAAGCTAATATTTTAAGAGAAATTAAATGTTGCTATACCCTTATTAATATATCAAGAAATTTGAACATGCATTTAAACTCAGTTGCATAAAAATCGAAATCATTTCCACCTGCAAAACAAGAAGTTAACACGTGCATTTTGCCATGATAAATGCATACCGGCCTTATACAATTGCAACCCTTCTGGGATCCTACTTACTGACACGGATGCATTTGGGAGAAGGGGACCAACCCTGTTCTGTACATGTAATAGTGTTCTGTTCATTTGGAAGACTGTAGTCACGATTGCACAAAACATTTACAGAGTCACCCTCAAAGAAATAGCTTCTTGAATTCTGAAAATGTCCATTTTCCACATAATACAAATAGCATTTTCCTAAGGATCATAAACACAATAAATGAAAACATTAATGTCATCAAAATAATGAATTTAAAAAAAATTACTTTGTTACATTTAACATAAAATGTATATGACTCTAAAAAAGATTGTACAAATTAAAGTACAAAAGGTTATACTACTACCAAATGATAGTTTATAGAAAAATATTCACTATTATTTGATGGGATTTACCTTAATGGTTCTAATTAAATCATGTACAAAATATCCCTGGGAGATGTTCTTAAGTTTCTATATTTTTTATTTTATTTTCATAAATAGCTCTGCACAAGGGAACAAAACATTTTGTGACTTTTCCCAGGTAACATTCTTCCTAATGATCTGTTTTAGGGTCCAGATGCAATCATCCTCACTTTCTTTGCTTTTGCCATTCTTTGAAAGATACTCATATATCTTTTTTTTATTAATTTTAATGAACGTTTACAGAGATTTGGGATTTCCATTTATTCATTGCTGCATTTTTCCAACCACCCCCCGCCCAGTACGCTCTTCTCTTTGAAAAGTAAAAGAAAAATTCTTTCATTGGTATACAATCCACCCCCTCCAGTATATTCCACTATGCAACCTTCATTCTGGACTCTTGTCATAACCATAATACCCAATCATATATCACTTTTAAGTGGTTCTCTCCCTCATCTGTTTCAATGCAGTATATCATTTTAAAGAGGCTTACTTACTGCGGCATGGAAATTTTGGTGACCATCCATCTTTTGTGCATGTTATATAATCCCATGAACTTTGTGAAGCAGTGTCAAAACCAGGATGGCAGCTGTAGTAGTAATATTTTCCTATCTCTACTGGAAAATATGGTTTATATCTTGCTTCATGATGCATATATCCATTTTTTATTTCTGGAAAATCACAAGGTTTCACTTGGGAAAAAATACAAGAAAGTATGAATATTTTCTCTTAGCAAATTGTTATATGATATTGAAATCTTTTATTGGCTAACTATATCCTATTTTTACCATAATTACATTAATTCCTCTCAACTCATCTAGAACAGGGTTAAATTAGAGAAGGCAAAGGAATCAAGTACTGGAGGAAGTCTTTGCTAAAGAGGATGATATTATATTTGCTGGCACATACTTTTTGTATCTCTAACAAGGGGCTCAAGCGTATCAGAGATTGTGAGGATGGCACAGGATAAAGTGAGATTCAGATCTGTTGTTCATAGGATCTCTATGAGCCATACATAGTTCACTTGATGAAACCTCACAACAATAACAACAATTAACAAAAGTATAGGAAGACTTTCCAAGAAGAAAATGACGCAGACCCATTTAATGTATCCTTGAGTTACACATGTTCTGACATTCTAAATGAAGGTTAAAAGACTGAGCTGCTAAATTGACCACTCAACTTTTCTTTTTCTTTTGTTCTATCTTATCTCTAGCAGGGATCAGAGTCCTGCTTTGTCTTTTCAAATCTACTGTGATAAAAGAGATTTGGTTTTCTTTTATCCTAGGAGGCAATTTGAATAATCTATAATTTGGAAATATTCCTTGATACTCAAAGAATAAGTACTACTGAAAATATTTTTTTTACTTTTAACTTGGTGAATGAAATGTTTCTTTAATATCCCATATGTTTTTTTCTTTTTCTTGCTGTTGTTACTGTAGTTGTTTTTATGTGACTTCGAGTCACCTGCAGCTCATAGCAACCCTATGTACAATAGCCCTAAACTCATGTCAGTCTTATTGTCTCTGACACTCTATCCCTACACTAGTCACTGAATCAATCCATTTCACTGAGGGCCTTCCTCTCCTGCACCGTCCCTCTATCCTCCCAAGCATGAGTGACATCCCTCTCCAAGGACTGGTCCCACCTTACAACATGTCCAAAGTATCTCAGATGAAGCTTCAGATTCTTGCCTCCAAAGAGCAGCCCAATTTCACCCTCTCTAAGACGAACCTATTTACTCTCCTAGCAGTATATTCAATACTCTTCTCCAGAACCACAGTTCAAAGACAATTTTTATTTAATTGTATTTGATGAGTTAACTAAAAGTTCAAGATTTAAAAATGTTCAGAAATGCTTACATTTTTACAGGGTGTTGTTATTGTTAAGTGATCTCTAAAATCAATTTTGTCTTGTAGCAACCTCATCTAAAAAATAATAATATTGATACCTTGCCCAATACTATGCCATCTTCACAGTCTCTTCTCTGCTTAAATCTATAATTGTAGTCATTGTGTCCATACAACTTGAGGGATTTTGTCTCACTCTCTGACCCTCCACTCTTCCTAGCACAATGTCCCTTTCCAGGGACTGAACCCTCTTTGGTAAACTTCTCAAATATATGAGACAAGTCTCATCATCCTTGCTTTTAACAGTAGCCATTTATACTTCTTACAGACATAATTTTTAGTTCTTTTGGTAGTCGAGGGCATATTCAATACTCTATCAGCACCTTGATTATTCAACTTTCTTCATTAGTTATCCAATTTTCATATGCATATGAAACAATTAAAAACATCCTGGTATGGGCCAGGTACACCCTAGTCTTTAAAGTGGCATCCTTGTTCTTTACCACTTACTGCCCTTCATTGAAAGTAGATGTCTTTAAAATTTAAAACTATGTGTTATAAATTTAGTACTTTTAATATTAGACTACGTTAACATCCTCCAGGAAATATGATTCTTCAAGTTCTCCTATGGAATGTATTTTTTTGTCTGAAGCCCACACACATATGCACATATGACACCATTATACTTTATCATCTTCATTCTTACTGTTTTGAATTCACTTACATGGTTTCTTTTTTTAGCTTTTCAGACAAAAAACTCAAGTAGATTCTAAAGATGTGTTGTTGTTGTTGCTGTTGCTGTCGTTACTTGCTGTCGAGGCGCTTATGGTTCATAATGACGTTATGTAAAACAGCCCTACACCCTGTTCTATCCCTTGCCAATCTCATTGTCTCTGACACACCTATCCCAATTACCCTAATGACTGAATCAATCCATCTCAAGGGTTTTCCTCTCCTTCGCTGTCCCTCTACTCTCCCAAGTATGACATCTCCCTCCACGGACTGGTCCCTCCTCACAACATGTCCAAACTATTTCAGATGAAGCTTCAGAATCCTTTACTCCAAGGAGCAGCCTGGCTTCACCCTCTCTGGAACAAACTTGTTTGTTCTCCTAGCAGTCTATTATATTCAATACTCTTCTCCAACACCACAGCTCAAAGGTATAAATTCTCCTTCTATCATCCCTAGTCATTGTCCAGCTCTCTGAAGCATAGCAAGTGATAGAAAAAGCCTATATCAGGTGCACCTTAGTCTCCAGATTGACATCATTGCTCCTCAACACCTTGGAGAGGTCTCTGACAGCAGACTTTCCCAGTGCAATTTGTCTTTTATTTTTCTGGCTGCTGGTACCAAGAGTGTTGATTGTAGAGCCAAACAAACTGAAGCTTTCAATAATCTTAATCTCTTCACCATCTCACATGATGCTGCCAATTGGTCCAGTGGTGGGAATCTTTGTTTTCTCTACATTGAGCTTCAATCCATGTATGCATATCCTAAATATACATATACTTTTTTTAACCAGAAGTTTGTGAATATTTTCTCAAGGTAAAAAGTCTGAGATATCAGTACATTTAGAAATATTATTTCCCCTACTTTTTGGTACCTTCTCACATTATAAATTCAATTTCATACACTTCATTTAATTTTAGGGATATTCAATATATAATACACTAAATAAACTCAATTAACTGTCTTTGGGTAGATTCTGATTACTAGCTGATCCTTCATCCTGTATTCAAGGCTATAAACTGAGACAAGAGGAAATTGTTCATCTTTATATGATGGAGCCACTGGTGGATTCGAACTGCATAACATATGTGCAGCCTCTGGGTTAGCAGTACAATATGTTGCATTCAAAGCCACCTGAGATCCTTCACATGAGATACATTATTGTTTCTAATATGGGAACATTTGAGTCCATTTTTTTTTTCTTCTATAAGGTGTTTTCCTAAAGTCAGTGTTGTTGTTATGTGTTGTGTCAGGATTGACTCAGACCTGGCTCTCCAGAAGATTTTTCAGAGGCCGTAATTGGCATGGAAGTAGATTGCTCATCTTTCTCCTGAGGAGGAGCTGGTTGTATCGAACTACCTCCCTTTGGCTTGATCATGTAACTCCTTACCCACTAGGCCACCATACCAAATTCCTCTAGAGCTGCAATGAGTGCTCTACTTATAGGGTGCCCAGCACTGGAATTGACAGAACTAACTCTTTTTCGCTTTTCACTTCTTCCATCTCAACCAGAGCTGGCTATGGTTGCAGTCCTAGTCCATTTCAGTATTGGTTACATCAGTGTTGACTCGAATGCATTTTAAAATTTATTAAAATCCTGATTAATTTTGTAGTTGTTAAGAAGTATATTCAAGAACTACTACTCATTAGTATGGGTCAGAATGCATTAATAACAGACCGTATAGCAGGTCTCTGAGGCTATAAATTGCATGGGTGAGGAGCTCCCATCTTTCTCCTGAAGAATGACTGGTGGAATTGAAAAATCAGAGGCATGATGTTTGGGTTAGCAACAACCAGAGCTCCCAAGTAAATTTAATTCCTTTCTCACAAACCCAGACTCTTAAAGCTAACTCAGCTAAATGTCATCTTAGTAGAAGTAACCTTGTAAAGCCCTCCTTTTGAATGATTACTCTGTCCCAATTCAGAGTCACTGTTATCATCCTCAAATCATCCTTAACTCATTCCAATCATTTGTACTGCATTTCTCATAACATTTTACTTTATTTAATAATACAAATGAATAATGGAGCCAGTTTTATAACAAGAGTTCTATAGTTGATTTTCAAGTATTATCAAAGAAATCTAAATTATATGATAAATGAGTAATACCTCAGTTTTGCCGACAAGGATTCAAGAGTGTACTTTGCTAAAGTCTAAATGTAACTTGGAATTAGTGTGATTAAAAACGAGTGGTCTATCATTTTCATAAATCAAACATAAAATTAGTATTCAATATTTTACTTAATATTTTTAAATGTACTGAAATATATTTCAGAGTGAAAAGAATTTCTTCTCTTAAGAACATATGTTGTTGTGTAGTGTAGAGTCATAGGTGACCCTCAAGTGGTTTTTCAGAAGCAGTTAATGGCATGAGAGGTGATTACCCATTCTTCTCCTACAGAGCAGCTGGTAGCCTTGTACTGTATGACTTCAGAATTTCAGCGCAGCTTTTTTCCACTAGGCCACCAGAGCTCCTTGAGAACTTATACTAGTGAAAATTTGTTTTGGAATTACTCCTGTATTAATGCTGACTAATGCAGAACTGATTATTCGAGAGGTTGGGCTCTATGAGGTGAAATGTGGGGTCAAGATTGGTGGACGATCTATCAACAATCTGTGTTATGCAGATGACACAACCCTGCTTCCTGAAACTGAGGAGGATCTGAAGTGCTTG